TGGATATCATTTTGGTGATTTTTTTATTTAACTTAAAAGAATTTAAAAAAAAAGTTTTGATTTTTGTTAAAATTTGTAGAAATTATGAGTGATCACCTGGTGTTGTATGTGGACCGTCTGGTAAGGCCGGTTCCCGTACAGCCGTTGGAGTCGGAGGCTGGTCCTTCCACCGAGATTTCTGGACCGTCGTGCTCCGCGGAGGATAAGGAGAAGGGGGTCGTCCGAGGAGGCGAGGAGGAGGACGACGACGACGAGGAGGAGCCGCTGATTCAGGCGGCGGAGTGCCGCATTTGCCAGGAGGAAGATTCTATTAAGAATCTTGAGACTCCTTGTGCCTGCAGTGGCAGCCTCAAGGTAATTTCATTTAAAAAATATATATATATTTTTTGTAATTTTCGTTTATTTTTAATTTTTCATGATAACTTGATCAAGAATATATTTCCTTTCGGAAATGTAAAGAGCATTTTTTTTTCTAAAGCTTTCGAATGAACCTAATACTTGCTTTGGAATTTTTAATGCTTTATGAAATGAATTTTTTTTTTATATGCATTCTGCTGAAATTCTATATGTTTTGAATTGCAGTATGCACATAGGAAGTGCGTGCAGCATTGGTGCAATGAGAAAGGAGATATAATCTGCGAGATATGTCATCAGGTATCCTCTTGCCTTAATCCTTTATAAAAAGTTGTCAGTTTTTTTTGTTGAGAAACATGCATCGCCTTCGCGCAATTCGTATGTCACCCTTTTAAGTTGTTAGAAGATTTTGAACTATCACTTTTAGGGCTTTTGTGTCAGTAAAGAATGGAAAGTTTGTGGATTTTGAAGTAAGGAGTTGCACAGGATTGTGGAAGAAGTTCAATCAACTGCTTTTAGGAAGAATATCAACTTTTGATTCATGAGAAGAGCTCTTGTGTTACAAGCCTCGGCTTATCATGTAGCGCTTTTCAATGTTGTTTTACTCCTCAGCATTTATCACAAGAGTGGTTCAATGTGCCATCTTTTAGGCATTATTATCTCTGTTCACATATGTTGTTATATTATTAATTTATGTTTAGTGGCTATTGATATTTGGTTCTCATGGCTCCTTGCTGATATGTTCTTTATTTTTATCTGCTGTGCAGCCTTACCAGCCTGGTTATACTGCTCCACCTCGTCCCCATTCTGAAGAAACCGCTATAGATATTGGGTAAGTTTGATTTTCTGACATGTAACAAATGTTCTATGCAATGGTTGGTGGTTGGTGACTTTTTCTATTGATAAAATTGAGTGTATGCTGTTTGATTTGTAAAGCATGATGTCCGTCAAAAACTTTGCTCTAAATTTGCAGTAGAAATATTAGTCTGTATGTTCTGTTCAGAGGATTCCATTGTAATCATTTGTGTAACTGTCTTATAGTGGAGGCTGGACAATCTCTGGCACCCCTCTGGATTTGCGTGATCCTCGCCTCTTGGCCATTGCAGAGGCAGAACGCCAATTTTTGGAAGCAGAGTATGATGAATATGCTGCATCAAATGCCAGTGGAGCTGCATTTTGCCGTTCAGCTGCTCTAATTGTAAGCTTTTTGTTATGAATCCGCTGGACATTTTGAATATCTAATCATGTTTTACATGTACTGCTGAACATCCTTGTTGTAGTAAGTTTAATTCCCTGAAATTGGACGATTGTCAATTCTACATGGTAATATATTAGCCTTGTGTCAAGGGAACATTTTGACAAATTGATTTGGAGAAAAGAGTTTGCTTAGATGTCTGAGCTTTTAACTCGAAGATCTTTATGTTCATGGTACATAGTTTTGCTCTCTTTTTTCCCTTATCTGGGCATAGTTATTCCATGCAGTGGAGGAACCTACTTTTTACTTAATTTTTGGGTTTTAGCTCCCAACTTCCCTCCATCTCAAGGGAAGCTTGGGCCACCAGAGCAGTGATGCGATTCCACTTGGGCCACAATGGCAGTGGCCATCTCAGTTATTATTTCATGCCAACAACTTTTCTTTTGGTTTCTTCCTTTTTCTCCCTATGGTTGGGCATGTTTTGCATAAGCAGTGGACAGACATTGTACCATCCTTTTAGGAGCTTCAGCTCCCAACTTTGCTGTCTGATGGAAAACCACCCAGATTCTGCCTGGGTCACAAGCATCTCAGTTGATAATTTTCATGCTAGCAACTTTCTTTTGATTCTTTTATTTTTGTCTTTTTTCTTAATTTAAAAAAGTTTATTTTCTTTCATGAACCACATAATTAAGATTTGATTTTAAAATGATTGATTTTTTTTTTCTTTTTTGTCAGTTAATGGCACTTCTGTTATTGCGGCATGCATTGACTGTTCCGGATGCTGATGGAGATGATGATGATGTGTCTACTTTTTTCTCTGTAAGTTTTGCCTAAAGCTGCATTTGCTGCTGTTATTTCACCTATGCACTTCTTAAGCATTTAGCAATTAACATTACAGGCATTATACCATTGAGCCATTTTTCTTAAAGTGCTTGGTTTCTTGCAGCTTTTCTTGCTTCGAGCTGCTGGATTTCTCTTGCCATGCTACATCATGGCTTGGGCCATCAGTATATTACAGCGCCGAAGGCAAAGACAGGTTATTGTCTCATTACATGTACTTTAATTTGAAATTCTGTGTTTGTTTCTCTTCCAGAGGAAGCCAGAAGGGAAAAGCAGCAAGCTAAACTAAGATTCTTTATATATATATATATATATATATATATATATATATCTTCTGGCTTTTCTTCAGATCTTGAAACCATACATCATAGACATAGTTTGTGTTTGAGTTGATATTGAAGCTTGTACCATTATATGTATCAGGAAGCAGCAGCGTTGGCTGCAACACAGGTTGCTTTCGTGTTACAATCTGGGCAACGTAGGGGTATGCAGTTTACCATTGCATCAGGACCAGCGGTGACTCCACACCAGGAAAGTGTTTGACTTAAGAGGAATGCGTGAAGGTCTGGCACTAACATTATATTGGTTGTTGAAGGGTAAATGAGAACGGTTCGCCTATCAATAAACCTGAAAAGCTTTTTATTTTTTATCTCCAAAATAGATGGTTGAGAAAGATTCGGAGAAAGTTAGGGTAGCCTTCAGTCATTTCCATGTCATGTACCCATCATTGTGTATATGTATATACGAGCTTCAAAGCACTTAAGCTTGAGCTACCCAGGTCTTGTGAAATGCAGAATTCTCTCCATCTTCAGTTCCAATGTCCTAGTGTGCTTTCTTTTCCGGTCATTACTGTTTCAGTTAAAACTCTTCTGTTGTAGCGCCGTATGTGCCGGCTGTAGGATACCGCCCGAAGGGGACTGTGATGCAACAAAAGAATGAGAAATTCATATTTCATGTACCATGGTAAGTTTGAGATGCTTTTGTGAGGGGAGAAAAAAAGTGGCAAGCATATGCTCTCATCATGATCTATAGGAACAATCCTTAAAGTAAAGGCAGTCGAGAGCATCTGCCTTTAACATATGTTTTTGGGTGACATTCCGTTCTGTAGTCCTTCCCCCTTTCTGGTTTGTGTCCGCTAGTGAAAAACTTATTCACGCACACAGATACGTTATGGACTCGAGTTGCTCGACAAGATATTCACATAATTTCATTAACAGAAAAGGAAACAGTATCTAAGTTGATAATGCCGAGATGTCGATGTCGATTTTAAAATCTAATGGATTCGAGTATTTTAGGTATAAAACGAAAAGAAAAGAATCAAAACAGGGAATGGTTCAAAGAGTTGGGAAATGATCTGTATCAAATTAGGAACTCTAGTCACTTTATCTTCTTTAACTTTGCTTTGTTACACTTCTTTGTCTATATATTTTTTGCGCAGTGGCTTGGTCCAGGCTGACTGCGGATGGACTCATTGCACCACAGGGCGGACCGTCGCGGGGAGGCTGCTCGACGAAATGGGCCCTTTGGTTTTGAATCAAAGTACTGAAAAGTTACAACTTTAAGACCAAACCCTTCAAAGAATCTACAAAAGCCGTAATTTGGCCATTTTTTTTCACCTCTTTTTAATTTTTGGGTTTTCCTTTTACTAATAAGTAATAACAATATTCCAAAGTGGACACGGTCCTGGCCAGGATTCAATTGATTTTGGTCATGGAAAACCACCTTTAACAGCTAGAACAACCAGCGTATCTAATCAAGTACATCTAACCTTAACCAAGTACTCACCCGTACAAAAATTTAGGCAGGTCCCACCCTTTATATATATATAATAATCGAAAAAATAAAATTCAATTTAGTTATGTATTTTATTATCAAAATATTGAAAAAATAGAGATTTACTCATAATATTTTATAATAATTTTTAAATTAATTAAGTATGTGATTTGTATGTCATTTTTATAAGCACATTCAATTTTATTCATTTAACAAGAAGTTACTTACGAAAGTCTTAACTCGAGAGTCACATTTGGTGGTAAGTTATCGATAAAGACTTGCTTAGTCACTAATCTCGAGAATTGAAGGTGTTCAATAGATCGTAATCAATTTTATCTCTTTGCGATCATTTATATTAATTTAAATTTAAAAATTAAATTT